TTAAAGTCTATAAAATAAAAGCACCCCCAGTTACTCAAATGGGCCCGCACTCTCAGCTTAATCTACGATTTATGTTTTCAAAACTTTTAACTAAACCATTCTCTCAAATCAGTATGACAGCCTACTCTTCCCCGCTCGCCACCCGTCGATACCAAAGCACTGCTGTGGAAAAGTCAACATATGAAAATATCCTGCACACAGCCCACCGAGGTAGCTAGATGGAGGCGGACCGATTTAATCTCAAAGCCAAGATTAAGTATTCTTGACGAGATGATCTTACGAGCACAGCTGTCCGTGCTCGCAGCGGTGACTCAAGAAGATTTACGGGTAAACTCGCATGATCCCAAATGTGGACAAAGTCAATGAAGAAGGGGGAGAAAAAAGGAATAGAAGAATTTGACACAGCTTCATTTTTTACTATATGCAAACTGCACAGTTTCACACACACATGTAAACCAACATTCACACATGACCAGTGCAAATGATGACATCTCAGTCCACAGAGGGGGAAATTACGGCTGCAAAAATGTCAAAATGCTCTCGTTCTGCCGGCCGTCGAGTTAAGCTTTTAAAAACTCTGCTGAGACGATGATCCCTCTGAGCTGAACTGCACTGATCCCGCCACAATTTAGGATTACAGTCCGTGCGTGCATGTGTATGTCAGCTTGCGCATGCCTAATCAGTCAATAACTAATCACCAGAATAACATAATGTGGGGTTGCATTCGGTGTTTATTTTGGTGTGTCAATTCTAACTCTTGTGCATGCGTTGCTTTTCTGTCAAACAGCTCCCCACTATGGGTGATGTAAGAGTTGCACCCAGCAGCAAACAGTGTGTGCAAATCACTCACTACTCACTTTATAGCAAGTATTGACATTTTATAGCACTTTCACTACACCTGAATTCAAAGTATCCCACAATTCCTCGTTAAATGCCGTGTACAACCAGTGGTCACTCCCCAACCACCGTATAGTATCATGGATCAAAAATGGCAGACAGATGAGAGGAAAGAAAGGAGCACATGACACTACTAACTTTGTGTATTAATTTTGGAAAAAATATGTTCTGTGTTTAATACAATGCTGTGTGTCAGTATTTATGTCATTATTTAACCTTTTTTTCTTTTGCCACCTTCTGACTATGTAACAGCAATGGTGCATTTAATGGTGCAGAGAAAATTACTCATAGAACTCAGTAAATATGGAGCAGGGAGTCATGCATGAGTGAATGATTATCACTGGTCCAAACCGTGAATCTATCTTAAGCCAAAACAAGTTGTATTTGGTGCCGAAATCTAACCAGCAAGTAAACTTTAAAGTAAAAAGCAAGTGAAGATGAAATGAATCAGTCAGTAAAAACTAAGTAAAACATAGCCTGCTTTCCTGGCTGATAAACTCTGAGTTACTTCAGACTCTGCAGCACTTTAAAAGAGGACCATTATCACTAGGTGTACAGTAATGATGCAGGTGGTGGATTGTGAAACAACAGTGCAGGATAGCATGTGTTTAATATGGAAAACTAGTGAGATTTGTCAACCAGGTGGCATGACATCCTGGGATACGAATCGATGCATACACTCACTGCAGTACCTTTGCAACCTGCGGTCACAGGTGACTTCCCGGCCCACTTCTCCCGAGTCCATATGTCCCGGCTATGACCATGCAACAACATTTTCTCCCTGCTGGTGTCTGAAATCTTATACATGGAAAAGACAAGCGAGTGATCAGTGAAGGGAATTGGATTTGTATTTTGATACATATATATGTGATAGATTAGGGAGGTAGGTAGATCCTAACAGACAGAGCTAATTATACCAGGCTAACACACTGTTTCACCTCTCCTCCACCCCCTGTCTCTCTTATTTTTGCTTCAGCTTAAGTGGGTTCTTATCTTATCTGTGGAATTTCTCTTAGAGAACAAAAACGATCAGGAGAGTGGATGGTATCACAGCCTGGGGTCAATGATGTTCACTCAAGTTAAGCCAGGGTAATTGAATCTTAATAGTCAGCTTCTAGCCTACAAAACAAAAATGCAGAATGCAGCTAGATTTGCTGATCACCACCCCAACAAGTCTTACTGCATGACATGTGAGAAAGATCACATGCAGCTTATTTCATTTGAATTGATTTTTTTAAGGAAACCACACTGCTCTGCATGTTGTTGTCTTTGCATTTATGAGAAATTCGAACGTGTGGCCATAAAAACAGCAAGAAGCGCGTGTCTGCATGCTGGCTAAATGACTAAGGCTCAGGATTTGGTTTTCCATAACAGATGACGAATTAAATTAAACTGAAATGAGCCCTATTTTAGGGCAAAATAGTAATAATAATTTTAATAATAATGTTAATTTGTTTGCACTCATATTAACAAGAATGGAATCACTTTTAATGGATTTTGGAAGAAATTACATTTATGTGATCCTTTGCATTAGAAATCTAAAGACTACATGGCAAAGAGAACAAGATTTGAAAACAAAAAATATATCATTTGAAGCAAATAATAGTTGCACAGTTTTTGAAAAATTACTTATTTTCCTGTATTGAGATGTCTTCTTGTGTTATGTAATTCAACATCCATTATACTGGATAACATTTGACATAAATTAATACCTAATTAAACATTTGTTCAAAAATATGCTGATATATACATAAGATTTTATATGAGACCATTTCCTTTTATGTCACACGGGTACTCACTTTATCAAGCTTGTATTCCAGAAGTTCTTCATTCCTCCCTTTTTCCAAAGTCTTCATTTTTCTTCCTCTTGAGCTTCTTCTATCATTGCATCATCTTTCTTCACTTGGTGCTGTACTCTTTCCCCTCATTAAATCATCCGTGCACCAAGTTTTGGACTTTAATCAAAGGTAGAAAACAAGTTAAGCTTAGGCTTCAGAGAAACATCCGACTCATCCTGCCTGACAAAAAGACAAAAGCAGACAGCTTAAACTTTGCAGCGGGTCTCCTGCGGGAAGATGAGGACAGCTGGTCAATTTCAGTGGGATTTCTCCTTAGGCCGCTCTGGATTAGAGAGGGTCAAGCCATCCAGACAGGTCCTGCCATGTCCAGCAGATTCCTTGGGCTAATTTCAGACTGTTACTGCATTCCCAGAACAAAAAAATATACTCAGAATAGTTTATTAAAAACCTCAACTGTCTTATTATTATAATTATTATTATGATAAAGAAACACAGACTTACTGCCTTTTCTTTTAAACCAGATTTGATTTAACACTTTTATTCCAGTTTGTGCTCTGAGGTAATTCCTGGAATGTAAACAATCCACAGATTTAAATCATGCCAATGAAGTTTGTATGTCCCATACACTTCTATCACAGATGTAGGATGTCATCACTTTCACTCTGCTGTGACCAACCAAAAAGGTAAATTTGAGAAATACCATCCCTGAACTGCAGCTGTTTGGGAATTTCTTTGTTTTGGAGTCTGTCCCATCTATTCCGAACACACTGGTCATGTCTAATGGGATTTGACTTTCTGCTAGTTAGTCTTAACAAATTAATTAGATTCCTTGGATTAAAGCAGCTTACTGTTAACATTTTATACTCGTAAATGAATTAAAGATGTCCACCAATAAAAATAATTTTGAAGACTGAAAAAAAGTTTATATGGTAGTAGCTACTTATTTCCAGATTTTTATAAGGTGGTCAAAAAGAGGAGTGTATTCCTGTAAGCTACATCGACCTCTAGGTGACCCTGTAGAGATTGCTCTTTTTTTTCTCCTTCATAATTTGAAATATGAAGGAGAAGAAAGCTATAATCTTTTATTTCACAGAAACATTATGAAGGGTTATATTTGTTTGTCCACAGCTACTCGTGCACATGTTTATCTTCATTCTTATGACCGATCAGGAGTAAAGCAGCTCATCTACTAATGGGAAGGTTGGTGGTTCAATCCCTCGCTGTTCCAGACTGCATACCAAATATGTTTGGGAAACATACCGAACCTCGAGTTGCTTCCAATGCAATCATTCAAGTGTCAATGTGTGTGAATGTGAGACAGAAAGCACTTAGGCATAGAAAATGGGTGAATGAGTCATGCTGTATAAAGTGTTCTTCTACTCAAGTTGAGAAGAACCAGTCCATTTACCATGTAAAATGTGTGATTTTAATATGTCGATGTCTGTCTCAGTTTTTTTTGTACACAGGTCTCTTGTGAAAAAGAGATTTCAATCTCAGTGAGACTTTGTGTTTAAATAAATACTTCAATAATAATAATAACAACTGCATAGATAAATAGTCCTCAAAATTCAGAATGGTATGGCTGAATATTAGTCTAAACCTGCTACTTTGTAGCTTAGCATAAGGCCTTTTTAAACTGTTTAAGAGCAGTCCACTGCAACAGAGGAGTCGGAGCGTCAATCTGCATATTCATAAATCGGCAGTAAAAGTCGTAAAAGCTATTTTATTAAACAAGGGTATTATTTATGAAAAGTAAAAATCCAGATGTGCAGCTGAGGTGCTTTTTGAGATTTGCATCAATGCTAGCAGTGGAACTTGAATAATTTGTAGAAGGAGAAAACTTAGTTCATCCAGCTAAGACATATTTAGCTTTTAACTGCTATTAAAAGATGAAGAGAGCAACAGGTAATCCCCTCTATAAAGCTGTTACAAGTGGGATGAGCTAAGCATAGGAGATGAGCACACAGTGCCTCAGTGAAGACTCAACGAAGACTCCTCCTCTTAGTTTTATGTCATGATGACAACATGTGGGATGGTAATGGGTAAAGTATCTCTGTTCACAGGCCTGGGAGGAAACGGCTCCTCTGCAAACACAGCAGGAGGGCTGAAATCAGAAGTCATTTAGCACGAGTCACAGACAAATGCTGACAGGTTCATGCTACTTATGGTAAGTGTATGTATTTCCTGTTCATGTCTATGAGTGTCTCATAGTTTGACAGTCATGGTATTATTATTTATTACATAATGATGAATGACAGTCAATGCAGCAGATGTGCCTCTGAATTTTTATTTCTTTACTTCTGTTTTATGAACTGTGGCTTCACAGTTATGTACTGATATAAAATACTTGAGAAGTCTATACTGAGCAAATAAAAAAATGTATAGTTCAGCCATAACAGGTCATGGCTGTACCATCAAAACATCTGTCAGTGATGTTCTTTATAGATAGATCTTTAAATCATATATTTGCAGTTTTGATTTCAGCGTAAAAATATGTAAACTTAACTTTTTGCTGTGCGAAGTAAAAATTATACAAGTCAAAAAGCAGAAGTGATTACTTTCAATACCTATGTTGGCTTCAGATTGAAGCAAGCAGGTTCACATGTGACCAAGATTACTCTGAGGTGGGTTGTTCCTCATTTAGCCGTGTTGTGTGTTCAGCAGGGCATTTAGATTCTTATCCAGTTAACAGTGAGGCAGCGCTGAGCTCGGACTCATGTCACACTTCATCTGTCACCAAGTGAACCTTTGATTTTCCTGAAGCCTGATATATAGCATGTTGTGATGAAACAACAGCTTTATGCTTAGAATAAGTGGACAGATTGTAAAACAATAGCTTGCTTTCCAGGAAGCCAAAAAAACATACATCTGACAGGAGGTTTCTGCTTGACCAGTTTCTTTTTTTGATATTGTTTTAGATGTAGACAAAGGCATTTGGGCCCATTTCACCTATTCTGCTGGAAGATGGCCACTGCAGCGGAGGACCCCCACCTGGGATCAGGCCCTGACGATAGCGAAGTGTCTCCATCCGGGAGAGAGTCAGACTCAGATAGCATTCTTTCGGATGACTCGGTGCTTCCAGACTACACGCCAGAGAGAAGAAATGGGAGTGCAGCATCAACACTGTATCAAGCGTGCGCCCGTAATGAACCGGTCTCTCTGCAGACAGTGCTTGAGAGGGGGGTCACAAAAGAAGAGGCGATGGAGCTGGACATCAATGGCTGGGTGAGAGTCTCATCCATAATGAACTCATGATCTCTATGACTAGCAGTGAGCAACATATTGCAACATCGCTGATCTTAACTGTTAACTTCAAACCAACAGAATGGTTTAATGGTGGCGTGCTGTAAAGGTTTCCTAGAGATCGTACATGGACTTCATACCTGTCCATATGTTGACATAAATCACCAGGACAATGAAGGCAACACAGCACTGATGATTGCATCCCAAGCAGGTATGTTTTACCAACTTATTACAACTGGGGTGCTCACGAAAAAGTTAATTTGATGCAAGTGACATGTTTGCTATAAAATCTGTTTCAGTAAAGGTGGGGATGGGTTCCCCACTCACTCTGACTGCATGGACAAACAGTTCAGGAAAGAGATAACTAAATGCATTCCTTAAATGCTGATTAAAGCTTTATCAAGCAAAAAAGAAGCCATGTAAATGGACTAAAGCTCATTCAAAATGAACTGAGACAAAGTGGAAAATGGTACTTTGGTCAGACGTATCAAAAAAATTGACATTCTTTTTGGAAAACATGGACAACAGCTGTGTCCTTCCAACTGACCATCCAACTTCTAAATCTTTCATCAGCTGAAAACATCTGGAACAACATGAAATTAAAAATATGTCAAAGGAGACCCAGGACTGTTGAGCAGCTAGAATCCTGTATCAGACAAGAACAGGAAAACAGTCTTCTCCCAAAAGTCCAGCAGGTGGTCTCCCCCGTTTCCAGATGTTTATGGACTGTTGTTAAAAGAAGCGGGGATGCTAGACAGTGGCAAACTGCCCCAACTGAGAGTTATTGGTGCCAGTAATCTCAAAGTGAGCTAATATTTTTGTATGTATGTTTTTGTTTGAACCTTTGATATGGTTTATGTGTTCTATTGTGAACAAAATCTGGGTTTATTAGGTTTGTAATTATTCCATTTTGTTTTTATATTTTACACAGATTCCTGAGAACTTCTTTGGGATTGGGATTGCAAATAGCTTGAGCTTGATTTAATCGGAGATTTAACCAGTTGCAAATATGCACTCAACTCGTGTTTTCTGACGCACTGTTGTATAAATTCTGTGTTTTTACAGGTCACATCATGACAGTGACGTATCTCCTGAACTATTATCCTGGAATAGACACAGAAATAAGGGATTGTAGAGGTTTCACAGCTCTCATCAAAGCTGCAATGACTGGCCGCACTGATGTTGTGGCAGCCCTTGTTATGGCTGGTATGTAAGAGTAGAGTGCAAAAACACACTTTATTTCACTGGATCATTACCTATACATTTCAGCTACTGGTATAAAAACAAAGGTATGGTATATTCTCTGTTTCTTAATGCTTTGGGAAATAGCAAATATGAATAAATATCCATCATTAATTGAGATTAGACTCTTATAGAAATATATATATATATATAAAAAAAACAACAGATTAGTCACTTACACATATGAGCTACTCAGCTAGCTCTTTTTGCTACAATTCAAACTATACTGACGTTCCATTAAAAGAACTTTTTACAGTGTTGAACATACAAAAGCTAGCCCCAACTGATGTCACTGGATTGTTTCTGAAACTCTAACATCAGCTCTTTAACTCTGTCTTTCACTGCTCTAAATAAAGACTAAGAGCACTGCTAGTGAGAACGGCTGACCACATGGTTTATCTGACCGTATTTGAACCCGGCTAACTCTGCGCATATGTCAACGTGTCGGTGACGTGAGACTGGTTTAAAGGATCACTCTGAGGACATTATCACATCTTAACAGATACTGACTCTGTAATCTTTACCTTACTAGACTTGCGGGCTGGTCGCAGATTAGTCGTTTCCTTATTTTTGGACTGCACGTTTCCTCAAATTTCTGCCAGGAGTAACACTTAGTCCAACATTAATATCATACAATAAACTGCCCTCATAATGAAATCCATAAAGATGGATTTCTGAAGCAGACTGTGGGAAAGTCAGCTGAACTTTACAAACCCCTGCCTGCTTTATTCTACCGCATTTAGACAGCATATCACTGTATCAGAAAATTTAAGTTAGTAAGACAAATAAAACATTAGTAAACAGGCATTGGCACACAAATCATTTTCACATTTCACAGTATGACAACCACAGATGTAGATAATTTTAACTGTGCAAAACGGCTCAGGGCTGTGCTGTTACTTAGTTATCTACAAACTGTGAGACAGCAACACGTTTATTGCAAGCCACCATGCGCCTCATGAACCTCGAGAACTCAGGTTTGGCATCAAGTCTGACGTGTGTAGGCTGTATGCGATAAGATTTACTAAAAAGTATTAATACATTATCAAGTCAGACACTTTGATGTTTAACATTTTTTTGTAGGGCAGTCCAAAACAGCACTTTAACAAGTTATTAATATGAACTTATTATTAATGAGTTATTATTAATCAGTTCTTGTGTTTGTTTTTCCTCGTGGTATTTCTTTTCAGGGGCTGACATACATGCAGTAGATTCCACCAGAGGAAGATGTGCTCGGGACTGGGCCTTTAAGACAGGTCGCTACGAGACCTTGCACCGTCTCCGTCGCCTCAATATGCGTCCAAGAGCTGAGCAGTTCTGTGAGGGTTATGTCCCTGAGTGGCCTGAGCTCAAGGAGAGAGTAGCCAAGGCCGTATCTCAGAAAACTCCCAGGGAAAAAATTGCCCAGCAGATCAAAGACACCTTTGGATTCAGATTACCTCGTGACCCCGAGGACAACGGGGTGTTGGACCACATGGTGCGCATGACCACCAGTGTCTACAGTCCTCTGATTTCAACTGGATGTCACCCACTCTGCCCCACGAGCCCTCCAGAGATTGGCAAGAAGCGTCTGGCCGTACAAGAGCTGGTCAGCAAACATACAAAAAAGGACCTTGAGGAAAGCTCAGTGTGCCACAGTAATGGCTCAGTGTCGCACATTATCCCCACAATCCACTCTGCGGAGTCGATTGCTACGACATGCTGTGCCGACACCGAGCGGCGAGGCAGTATGCTCTCCACCAAAGGTGCCACAACTTTTATTTCCCGGAGTATGGGGAGGCGGAACAGCGTGTTCCCCTCTGGCTGCATCCCAAAGATCAATGTAGACAGGCCAACAGAAGCAACGCCAAAGAAAGAAAAGAAGAAGAAGAGGGAAAAGGGCTATCTGGAACCACCCAAGTGGAAGTACAAGGAGATCAAGGATGAGAAAAAAAAGGACAAGAAGAAGGCTGAAAAAGAAAAGGAAGAAAAGGAGAAAAAGAAGAAAGAAAAGGACAGCAAGAAGGCCAAAAAATAAGGTTTTAAAAAAGAAAGGGCTGTACAAAATATCCTTTGTGAGAAAAGTGAGTGTCTTTTCAACACAGGGCTTAAAATGTTCAAACCAAAGAGCATTCAAGTGAATACTAAACTTAAATCTGAAAGGGAGTGACAGAGGAAGAGAACTGTAAAGACTCTTCAGGGAAGGTTTGAAGCATCTACGCTAAAAGCAGTACCTATATTTGGAGTTAATGTGAAAAATAAGTCTATTATTCTATTAGGGATTAAAAGACTTTAAAGAACTTCTTAAAAAAAAAGAAGAATATGGCACAGTGCACAAAATCCATATTTACTGGCTCATTCTTACCGGTGCTAAAGCATCCATGATGTCTACCTCATTATTCAAATAAATCACAGCCACAGTACGAGTAGACCTGCATCCATTTATAACATGAGATGTAAACCTAGAAGCATATATGCTACAGCTAATTTGTATTATTAAGTAGTATGTATAATATTTATACATAAGAAGAGTTTATGGATGAAAACATGAACTGTAAATACTGTATAGTGTTTAGACAACAAGCATCAAAACTCAGGATCTGTTTAATCCTCTAGGTTTATTGCCACTTTGTGATATTGCCAATAATGTTCATGTAATCTTTGAATACCGTGCACACAGTCATGAAAAAGGAAGTTTGCACATGACTCCGTACAGTTATGTACAAAATCATGTACACCCTTACTGAAGGGTAGCCGATCAAATGCACTTGATTAACTGATCATCAGCAGGTGTGAGTTTCTATACAGATGCGGAGGTTTGCCAGTTTGCTGATCTGGAGCATTCAGGTGTCTGTAAACACAATGCCACAGTCTTCCCAGGAGAGGATGTCCCAGGAGATTCAGCCCTGGGTCAGAGTGTGCAATCCTCAAAATAAGCTGCAAAAAAAAAACTCCAAGAGCTACATCTGAGACTCTACAGGCCTCAGCTAGAATGTTAAATGTTAAAATTAATTAGAGAACAATTAGAAAAGTGAGGCTTGTTTGCTTATCTTTGCAAAAGTTGCATTTGAACAGACCACAAGACTTTTGGAACATAGATCCTTTGGACAAATTAGAGCAAAGAGGAGATGTCTGGTGGCGGCACATTTGGCGAAAACCAAACACAGCATATCTGCACAAACACCTCATACCAACTGTCTAGCACGGTGGTGAGGCCATCTGCGAAATCTTGGCTGAAACTGGGTCATGCATCAGTACAACAATCTCAAACTCAGCAGCAAATCTGCAAACGCATGTCTGAAAAAGAATCAACGTGTTGCAATGGCTCAGTCAAAGTTTGGACCTTAACCTGACTTAAATATTGTGGTGGAACCATAGATGAATGCCTGAAAACCTCAATAAAATGAGGCATTGCTTGAAAGAAGAGTGGGCTGTTAAGATGTGAAATACTGATAAAGTCCTAATGCAAAAGACTGCAAAAGACTGGGTCAAATCATTGCTGCTAAAGGTGGCTCTTTATGCAGGACTTCATAGAGTCCAGTGAAAACTTCCTTTTTCACATGACTGTAGATGGATTTCAGCTGTTTGAAATTATAAAAATAAATGAATAACTAAAGGACGGTGAAGATTTATTTGTAGATTTGTTGGGTCTTAAAAGCACAGTGGTTAGTAATTTTATATCAACCAATTTGTAAATATAGCAATTTATAAATATTGTACCAGAGTATTGAAGGCACAGGATGTAACTGCGCAGTCTGCGTGTCTCCATTAAATATCTATCTATAGTTAATCTATAGATAGATAGATGTTACCTCCTCGCTGTCTGCGTGTGTCACTGCCTGCTGCTGGTGGAGCCTCTACACTACTTGCGCTGTCTCACTGTCTACATGACGGCTCACCAGATCCTTGGTTAACAACGTGTTAATGCGATGAACCTGGAATGCATTGATTATGGCTGACCTACGGATGTCACTCGCTGTCCTGGTTGTTCACACTGTCCTATACACAGCCTGCCAGGGTGAGTAACTTACTGTTTGTTTTGTCTGAGGACTGTCGCTACCGCTGTGGAGCCGACGCTCCGCGAAGTTAGCTGCTAGCTAGCGCTAAACTAACCATCATTAACCAGAAAAAAACAGGTCAAACCTCCTGCTGTCGATACGGGGAGCCTTTCACTGCATGTTTATAAATCATGTTATGTTATCTGTCTATCTATGTTATCTCGTCCACGTCGAGGTTTGTTAGGTGAGTCTGATACAGCAGGTAAAATAGGAGCTCAGGTAGCAGTCTGTTTAAACTGAGAGCTACCTTAAACACCAGATCCTGTATGCGTCCTTTAAAAGCATCCAGGTATCAGGCACCTTTGAAAAAAATGGCTTAAAGTGTTGATGCAGAATCGATTTAATGAAATTACTCGTGGGTAGAAGTGATGCGTTGATGAAACTCTGCTAATCTTCTAGCTACAAAGGTAGTAATGTGTGCATTATAGCCTATTGGAGTAATGCTGGACAGTAGGGATTAAATCATGATCATGGGAGCGATTTTGCAATTACTTTATATGGCGCTATTGATGATGTGTATCATAATATGATATAGCCCAACTGGCATTTAATTGTCCTTAGATGAGATGGTCACATGGGGCATGTCTGCTTTGTGCATTCATCTGAAAATGCTGCTTCGCGATGAAGTCTGATGTTCATAATATATTTTCCCTCACATATTGTGTTTCTGCAAAAGTTTATTTTTAATTTATTATTTTTTAGTATATTATATATATGCTCTAGACAGCAAACTAATGCTTATTAGTTATTGATGTTATTACATTAGAAAATAGTTCCAAAAACTTGGCGGACATTTTTTCTTGTTTTTTCTTTAACTTGTTGAAAGCTTTCAGTGTGGTTGAAAACAGGAAAATTAAAGTGAACAAAGTCGGTGGCTCAGCCTGCCAAATTCCTGTGCTGATATGAAGGCTTGTGTCACTGAAAAAAGCAAAGTAGCATGCTTCCATTGTAAATTACTTTACCCACTTGAAAAGTTTTATAGGTAGCCATCTTTGCTTTTGCATTTCTATTTTATTTAATTTTTTTGTCAGACACGGTAGCTTTGTGCCGCTTGACATCTTTGTGGTTTCAAACACAACAATGTATATTAAAATTGTGACATTTCTAGCTTTGGAAAATCTGAAATGTCAGTCTTGTTTTATGTTTAGTCAGCGTTTATCTTCCTTTTTTCTTCTGTGGTTCTTCTATTTCTTGCGTCCAGTATGTGTGGGCATCGTGTGAGTCAGCACTACAAAATACATTGTAGCCCATTATATTTCCCCCTTTATCTCCTGGATGTGTGGCTTTCTTGTTGTTGTTTTTTTTTATCAATCCCATCCGGCACACAGGCTGTTGAAAGGTCATTTTCCCACTGAGAATTCCCTGGCAGCTCTTTGAGAATAACTGGAATGCCACATCCCATTCTTGCCTAAATAGCATTACTCCATTTCAGAGGAACCCAGTCTCTTGGTTGCCTAATTATACTAAGCGAGTTATTAAAAAAAAAAAAAGAAAAAACACTCTCCTGCACCTAATGCAATGACTGCACTTTTAACACTTCCTCTACTTCATATTTTTAGCACTTTGCATTGAGATATTTAGTTATGCGGTATATTTTGGTTCGCCATCCTTGGCAGGAAGTAGCCTTAAACAGATCTCCCCACAAATCAGTAAGAAGCCAAAAAGGGAAATAGCTGCATCTTAAACAGCAAAGCTGATCGTTTAAAAATATTTAGGCTTTATTTATGGCTTTATAAGTTGTAGTAGATAGTAAAGCTGTATGCCAAATTACCAATACCAGTTCTTCACAGGTGTACTACATGTACCAAATCATCAAAATCTTCATCACTTTAAGCTCACAGGAAATATAACCACACAGTAACATGTGCTTTCAATCAAACTGCAGCTTTAAAAAGGTGAAAAACAGACCTTTTTTGAATGATTTAAAGTAGTATGTATGTTTCTGAGATTTTCCTGAAGCTGCCTCACCACCCTCTCAAAGCACATTTCCATCATGCAATGTATTGTAGGAGAAGAGTGTGCTTATTTACAGGGCACAGTACCTCCTTTGAGGTGTTTTAATGTCTCCTGACATGCTAAAACCAGCCTACAATCCTCACATATTTGTGTGAGGTTTTGGGACACAGCGGTAAGTCTTCAGGCTGTTGCTGCCCCCTGCTGTGTATTATAGGAGCTGTAAAATTCTCTCTAACTCTTCAGTACTTAAACAGTTTTGTGCCAGCGGGTCACAGTTCGCTTGACTTCATGCAAGCTAATGGTCTTGCAAATGTTTTGCTATGTCTCTTCAGCTCTGTGGTGTAACTGCACCACTCCTCTGTGTAAGAAGTCTGACTTCCAGTGTGAGACCGATGGGGCCTGCACGGCTTCCACCATCTTCAGCAATGGAAAACAGCAGCACAGCCGCGGCTGTATCCCACAGGAAGATCTCGTGCCCCCTGGAAAACCGATCTACTGCCTCGGTGTAGAAGGCTACCTATACACGCAGTGCTGCTACACCGACTACTGCAACAGCATTGACCTCAGAGTACCCACTGGTGAGATTCACATTTAGTTACCTGTACTGTTTATATCACCAATGTCTGTGAAAGTCTGCTGTGCTAAATTAAAATTACATAGTGTTAAATGTCCTGCCTGTTCAGTGATCCCTCCAAAAGAAATCCACATAATATTCCACATTGGGAATCACCAGTAAAATTTAAATCAAAGCTGTGGGAAGTAGGGGGACAGGTTCTAGTCAGCTGTTTGCATATAGCCTTATTGTATTTCTTGACTGTCTTAAAAGACTTTGTAGTTGCAATGAATGCAACTCATTTGCTCACATGCGTCTCTACAGAGGTTTAATTATTCTGGTGTCTTGGAGTTAAAATATAGTGTGTATATTTTTCCCAGCTGTGCGGATGAGTTCACTGAAGTTTTGGCTGTTTACCAAACAAAACAGAATAATTTGGATATTTTAAAGAAAATGAGCCTTTACTGGATTAATTTGCAATTACTCTAATTCAATATTTTTGTGATGCTTTTTCTTCCATTCCATTGTGACTCCATCAGAAATCGGGGGAGGCTACGGCCCGGGTGGGACATGGAGGCTCGTGGAACTGGTTGCTGTGATCGCAGGGCCGCTGTTCCTGCTGTGTCTGCTACTGTTGGTGGGTGCGTTCATATATCATTATCACCGGAGGGGCTACAACCACAGGCAAAGGCTGGAGGTGGAGGATCCGTCCTGTGACCATCTCTACCTGGCCAAAGACAGATCCCTGGAGGATCTCCTTTGCAATCTATCCACGTCTGGTTCAGGCTCTGGTCAGTACGCAGTTTGGTGGTGGAACTGCAGCCCGACAGTCATGTTGTGGATCTTCATCAGCTGGTATCTAGTAATCTTTTTCTATTGTCATTTTTTTTTCTGGGCAGGTCTCCCTCTCTTTGTCCAGCGGACTGTAGCCAGAACAATCGTCCTGCAGGAGATCATTGGTAAGGGGCGTTTCGGGGAGGTGTGGCGAGGACGCTGGAGGGGTGGCGACGTGGCTGTGAAGATTTTCTCATCCAGGGAAGAGCGCTCCTGGTTCCGTGAGGCTGAAATCTACCAGACGATCATGCTTCGCCATGAAAACATCTTGGGCTTTATAGCTGCTGACAACAAAGGTGCAACCCAGTTATATGCAATATTTAATTTATTTAGTCAAAGAAACACAGTTCATCTTTTCAGCAGTTTACAAGACCTTATTATGCATTTTTGTTTCACTGTGCTGTATAATAACTAGTTATCCTAAAGTAAAATGATCATTTCTTGAGTATCTTCATTTGTATGTCTCTCCCTTAGACAACGGGACGTGGACTCAGCTGTGGTTGGTGTCAGATTACCACGAGTACGGCTCTCTGTTTGACTACCTAAACCGCTACTCCGTCACTACCGAGGAAACGATCAAACTGGCACTATCAGCTGCGAACGGCCTCGCACATCTGCACATGGAGATTCTTGGAACGCAAGGTAGTGTTTGTTATTCTATTGTGTAATCATGTTAATTCTATTTATGTGTCCTAGATTACACTTTCAGTAAATATGCAGTTTTTTACATATGTTTCAGGTACTACATGTAAACTTCTGCCTTGAGTAAATAGCCTTCCTTGTTCTTCTGTATTGTGGCTGTGTTTGGAGTCTTTGTCATCAGATGATCAAGACACCTCCCTGATAGTATTGTTTTCGATAAAGAGTCTCTTTCCTGTACAGCCACAGTCACAGTAATGACGCAGTAACACAGAGGCAGGTCAAGTTTACTTTCTCATTTATACTCACCAGCCAGGCAAACCTGTTCAGGTGTTCCATATCTCCATATCTAATCAGCCAATTACATGGCTCGACTGCATGCATTTAGGCATGTAGACATGCTGAAGTTCAAAGCCTTTTAACATGGCATGGTCAGATGGGCTGGTCTGAGTATTTCAGAAACTGCTGACCTGCTGGGGATTTCCCACACAAACATCTCTATAGTTTACAGAGAATGGTGTGAAAAAAGAGAAACAATACAGTGAGCAAGACATTTGGAAGAAAATGTCTGGTTGATGCTGGAGGACCGAGGAGAATGGCCAGACTGCTCTCAGCTAATAGGAAGGAAAAAGTAATTCAAATAATCATGTATTACAGCCAATGTTTGCAACTTTCAATGCACAACGCGTCAAACATTAAAGCAGGAAACTGAGGCCACATTACACACTGGCTCAACAAAATTGCACAATAGAAAAACAGGAGATTAATTTCATGAATGTGCAGCAACTGTGTGATCATGTGATCTGTCATATCAGTATGGACAAACATTTCTGAGGAGTGTTTTACTGCACCTTGTTGAATCTGTCACACAAAGAATTAAGGAAGTTCTGAAAGTAAAAGGGCCAACCCAGGACTAGGAAGGTGTACCTAATAATTTGTGTGGTAAATGTATTCATGTAGAAACGACTGGCAGTTCAAAACATCAGTTTTCTGACTTATGTTTAAACTGGTATGCTGTAATTCAGTTTCATAAGCCAGTGAATTTAAGCATTGCTTGTGTGCACCTCCCTTACACTCTGTGCATATCTGCGTTATCAAAAAGTGCTTTGATCAACACCTTTTATCACTTCCACAGTAGTTTTAACTTTGCCTCCCCAGCCACAGACAGGAAAAAGGCATCGGGCGTTGACAGCTGGACTTTTCCGTTTTTTGCAAGACTCTGACGTAACTGGCTTGAATCAACAGACTATGTCACAACCTGATATTTAAATGTTACTCACAGAGATTGTGCACTGACAAAGGCGACTGTGATATTTTGTAATGTTTTGCATACTTTGGTTAATCAAAGAACAATATTTTTTTTTGTTGAATGGGCGTGTAAGCCGTGTTAAGTTACAAAACAGCTGCTTTTCGGTGATTTATGTTCCATTTTTTTAAGGCTTGGTCTCACCTATACTTATCTTTGAACATTTTTCTCTGTTGAGTCTGCTTGATCATAAATTGTTGCAAAAGTGGAGGAGTAATTCTATTTCTCGTAATCAAACTGTAGTAAATGAAAGTTTAAAAAAATGGTACTTGCACGAACAGGCTCTATTTTCATGTTGACAAAACAATTAGATGCAGAAGAAAGTATTAACAAGTGACTGTTTTCCTTCATGTCATGATAGGAAAGCCAGGCATCGCCCATAGAGACTTGAAGTCCAAGAACATCCTGGTGAAGAAGAACTGCACCTGTGCCATTGCCGACCTGGGCTTGGCTGTCCGTCACGACTCTGCCACGGATACGATCGACATCGCGCCCAATCAGAGAGTGGGAACCAACAGGTCTTTCTCATCTGCTGACTTAACGCTGACCATCGTTTCTCACAGATATCTTCTGACATCTTTCCCAGAATATCCCTTTATCCTTTACGCCAGCACAAACCAGGACTGTGTTTATGTTCCCCAGGTACATGGCCCCAGAGGTTCTCGATGAGACCATAAACACAAGACACTTCGAATCATTCAAATGTGCTGACATCTACGCTTTAGGCCTGGTCTACTGGGAAATTGCACGCCGCTGTAACAGTGGAGGTTGGACTCTCTTTGTTTTCTCTTCGGATACTTGAACTGCCTTGTTTGTTGTTGTTATTTTTTTCCTCTCGTTGGATATGCCAGAGACGGCACTGATCTGACCTCACACTATTCTGTGTTATCAGGTATCCATCAAGAATACCAGCTGCCCTACTATGATCTGGTACCGTCTGACCCGTCCATAGAGGAGATGAGAAAAGTGGTGTGTGACCAAAAGCTTCGACCCAATATTCCAAATTGGTGGCAGAATTACGAGGTATGAAAATTAAGTTCAAATCGAACTAAAATCTGCACTTACATCAGAAAGATCTTACTTTTGCAGTTTGGCCCTTTATTTATATTTCTAATTATAACATTGCATTCATCATCTTAAACTAACAGTGTAACCTCCACTTAGGTTCTTTGCTTGTGGTGTTTCTGAACTACACTGTTGGCTTTGTTACAGCTAGGACAACACATAATAGAGTTCATTCATTTCCAAGATTCACTAGTTTGTGAGTCTTTTAGTAATTTCTGTGCAGCTCCATGTGTAGCGTGATAAAGCATAGTTTCCCCCATCAGAGAGCAATGATTACTTTAGTTTGTTAGACTGAGGCCACACCTCTTTATCTTTAAATACACACATTTGTGAAAGAGGTAAAGAGAGCTCACTAAATTCCAGTGTGGTACTGTAACAGGATGCTAACAGTCAATTCATGAAATCAGCTGTAAGTGGTATCATAGCAAAGTGGATGCATTTAGGAACTACAGCAGCTCAGCCGCAGAGTGGCAGACCATGTAGAGTTACAGAGCAGGGTCACCAAGAGCTCTTCAGCAGAAAAACTGTGCATTAGGGGCTTCGTGACATGTGTTTGCATGGCTAAGCAGAACGTGTGGAGGCACTCTGGTATTTTTGTTTGCATACATTGCAAATCTTGATCACAGTTCCCAAAAAATCCACATTTGTTGAGATTTTTTTTTAAGCCAATCATGAAAACTTTTTAAGTTTAAATGATATTTTTCACAATGATCTTATGTTTTTGTTTCAGTTTGTTATATATATTTCCGTGTTGCCTTTTCCGTAATGTGTACAGATCATTGGTGATCTGCATTCATGCTGAATCTGATAGCCCAAACTACAAAAATAAGACCCAGAATGAAATAAACCGGGTTATTATTAAAACTGCTTTTCTACATTGTTTTGATTCTTATTAGTGTTTTATGTGAATGAATTAGGGTAATCTGATACTTGTATTCTTCAGTATAAAGTAGCACTCAAATGCTGTTCATAGAGTGTCTGAACTACTTTGTGTCATCACCACCATTATTTATATTGCAATACAAGCTCTTAAGCCTTACTGGTGTTTTCCTTGTGCTTATCAGGCCTTGCGGATCATGGGTAAAATCATGAGGGAGTGTTGGTATGCTAACGGAGCTGCACGCCTGACGGCCTTGCGCATAAAAAAGACGCTTTCCCAGCTCAGCATTCAGGAGGACATTAAAATCTGAGCATGTGTGAGACAGCAGAGCACTGAAGAGGACCCGGCCCCTCCATCCAGACTGAGAGGAAGGGGTCGGGCCTTCTAAAGAGATGGCACAATGAAGAGTGGCACTTTGTAAAATTTTACCGCACAGACACTTCTGTCAGGTTTGAAACCACTTTATTTCTGACAAACCCTACCTCGCTTTACCCAGCCAAAACATACAGGAACACCTTCCCTGTCTCATCCTTAGCTCCCGCTGCCAAACCTCGCCCTCTTTCCTCACCCTGTACGCTGCACTAACAGTTTCCTGAATTTCTTGTGTATGCAGTCATTAACAGCACATGTACTTAACCAAGTTACATTTTAAAAATCAGCTGCTGGTGTTTTATTGTTTCAAAGTGTGTTGACAGTAATTATTAGTTAGTAAACAGCATTTGCTTGTTTTGTCTTAGCAGAAGAGCATTAACTCATTTATACTGATTCTGTTATATCAGTAATTGAACACTGTGCGGGAGCTTGTGGGCTATCTGTGTAGGTTAATTTCTGCCATACCTGCAGCATTCAAAGGAAGATTTTATTGATACCAGTGTCATAGAGATCAGGACTCCTGGTACCCTTCAGCCCAGGAGAAATGAGGCCTGCACAGTTTTTACTGTTTCATTCTCTCTGAGTCTGAACACAGTGCAGAAGCAAATAGAAAAAAGACTGTGGGGGACTCCTTTGTGAGTTTGTTATGAGATTGAAATGATTGCTAATAGGAACAGATAAACTGTGAGTAATATTTACATTTCCTGATTCCTGACATATTGCATTGCTTAGAAATCCTTTAGCACAAATAATTCACCTGATTTTAGTCTGTTCACATTTAGAAAAGTACATATTTAGGAATTATTAAACATCACTAGGATGAAGGGCAGCAGCTACTGCTGACTTTGATCTTCATTAGCTTCAGACCACTCACGTAAAATACAAGATGCATGCAGATCCATGTGTTGTATGTTAGTATCATAGTCTCCTGTTATGAATGCTTAACCTCAGATAAGCTTGTATACACAACATTCAGATATTACACTGCCCCTTCAGTGCAGTCCAGAATCCATGTTTAAGCTCATATTTTATACTCTTACAGCATGTCAGAGGTTTTTTTTTTCCCCCAGGGCACTTTCCTCCTGATCAAGTATATTTACTGCACTGCACATACACTAGCCTTTTAAGGTGATACTTCAGTTTAGGTCTGAGTGTGTTTTTAGATGACTTTTTTAGCCTTTTTTTTTTTTTTTTTTTTTTGTAAAGACAAATATTTACCAAATTACTTTGTGACCTGTGAAGTAACATCATTGTAGTTGTCAGGTGACCTGCTTAAAGTACTTTATTACTGCCAAGCAGTATAAGTTAAATTCATATTTCTTTCTGTGCCCCCGTACCCCCATCATGCTATACCTCCTTAATGTGCATATTTTGCCTTATGTATATCACTTCACTCTTAACATTGTCAGAAATCACTGCATTTTTTTTTATGTATTCAGGAAAAATGTGCACTTTCTGTCTTGAGCTGTATGCAGATTCTGCAGGTACTGTTTGCATGTATTCATGTGAAGTCTGACAGACCAATTGTGCACTACTACTGACCTCGCTGCATTAACACCAACCTTTTCTCAGAATCATCTCCGGCCACGGCCTCCAGTGTTTAAAATCACGCCACTGAAAACGAGAATGTTTACACAAATCATGCCAGTCAGATGACCTACCTTTCTGACTGAAAATTGTAAAGATAAATTTGCTTTTCTTTAATCTCTGGGAGAAAGAAGTGTTGAAACTAAATACTGCTGAAATGCCTTCGTGTTAGCTCACATTTTTTTTCCAACCTGTGTTGTTTTTTTTAAAAAGACCGGGGAGCTCTACTGAATGTGAAGCATATTTATACTTTCTTTGTTTGCCTTACAATTTAAAAGTGAATATTGCGTTCAGTGTTTTTAATACTTCGGTGTCTGTATCCCTTTGAAGGAACGCTGGAGTGAGAGTCAAAACAAAACACATAACAAAAATATATATATATATATAGGTATTATATTACATGTTGTAAAACTCTGTTTATGTTATTGAAATTATTCTACTTAAAAAAAAATCCTTCAGGACAATTATCATGTAACATTCAACACAAATGTAATAAATTCAGTCATTTTCCTATGTGGTGTCCTATTTCATTTTCGTCACCCTCCCCACTCAAAGAAATATTTTTATACTCAAAGGGGGTCGAGGATTGTATTCATGTGAGAAAACCTACATTTTGATCCTGCAATTCTTCCCAACTTAACATTGTTTTTTTAGCTCATTGCTTCAGTCTGGTTTTGCCCATGTGGTGTTAGAAAACATCTAAAAAATTAAGCAAGTAAGTAAAGTTTATTTATATAGCACCTTTCACAGACATGTCACAAAGTCCTTTTCAAGAAAGGTAAGAAAACACAATACATTTATAAATACATCATAAAAACCCTGGTCTAATTAAAAGCTTTTTGAAATAAATGGCTTTAGCTGCTTTTGAAGGTCTCCACCGAGTCCAAACACCGTAGAAGGAGAGGAAGTGCATTGTCTGGGTGCAACAGCTTGGAAAGATTGGTCCCCTCGAGTTCTAAAAACGAGTGTGGGACCACTAAAAGGTTTTGATTTGATGACCTCAGGTTACGAGAAGAGGTATGTGTACGAATCAAATCAGCAATATAGCAACAATCTGTAGACAAGCTAGCCCTTTCTTATTTAGACAAGTAAACAGGCTGTTACAGTATTCGAGTCTTTCAGAGACAAAAGCACGGATCATCATCTCGAGTTCACTTGTTGACACGATGGACCTAAGTTTTGAAATGTTCCTCAAGTGAAAAAAGCAAGATAGTAAGGTTCTTACTATTGGATTTAAATGTCCCTCCAAAGAAAAAGCTTAATCAAAAATAAGACTTAGATTTCTACAGGACGTACAAAAGCCACAGTGCCAACCAGCTAGATATTAATGTCAAATATATTCATCAGTAATTAGCCACTGAAAAAGTTAGAATAAATACAAGCACTCTTAAAGAACCTTTATTGCTCATTGTTTAAATTATAATATCACTGTAGATTAGTACAAAAACTGTGCAGTTACATAGTTGTACACAATCCATTTCACATATCCTAAAACAGGAAGTGTGACATGTTCCTCACTTTATCTTCTTTAGAAAATAGAAAACGCTGGTATGTAGTGATTTTGATAAAGTCAGTCCTCTAAACGCAAAAAAACCCCATAAAAACTACATAAACCTATAACAGCCGATGTTCTGACACAGTAAATAAATCGCATCAACACAACACAGAACAAAGAAAACAAAAGTAGAATAACTGAAAGTAATGGTCAAATTAACAAAGTAGGACTGTTTTTTTAACAGAATGAGATTTTGGACCACTGAAGCCATAAGCAGATCCCTTTACGACTAATAATGACACTAGAACCGGGGTGGGTGGGTGTGTG